CTTACTTTTTTTTTCAATTCGTATAAGATGTGTCACCTGACGAGAATATTTCCTTGATAACCAAGTTTTACTACTTGTATGGACTAAATGATTCAACATCACCCGGCGTATTACGTGAACAAACAATATTGACTTTACAGAATTGAGATTGAAAGCATCAAACAAGATATTTTCATTGAACTGCAAAAATGGTAAATTGCCGATAACGAAACTGTAAATTTTTAATTTTTTTCCGTTTTTCGTATTGAAATGTAGCTAGCACCCTCCGTTTTTGTCGATACTTTAGTTATGCAGAAGGATTTTTCCATCCGTAAATGCAATTAAGAGAAACGAGTCTTTAACTAACAATAAGTAATGATAAAACAGGACACTCCAGCATCGCCTTAAGTCTGAAACTGTTATATAATATTAGCAAATTGAAATTATTATTTTAATATAGATAATAATTTAATAAAATAATAATTCTTTTATAAATTTTTTTTTAAGTTGAAGAAAATTATAACAATGTTGGCTGTTAATTTCAATTAGTCGCTATTTTTTTCTGCGATACTTAATATACACATATAATCCTCTTTCGTGTATGTATATACCTTATAATATTAAATAGCAAACTTAAATGGTATTACATCGATTTAAAAAATAATTGTAATAAATCTGTCTCTCAAAATATTGATATTATATTTTATACTACGATTGCAAGATTGAGATAAAAGCTTTTAAGATATATATAATCAATGAATTAAAAAAATAAGTAATAATATTTATTACATACTAAGAAATGATTTGTTTCGAAAAATGATTTTAAGTAATATCATTATACGTAAAGGAAAGGAGTTTTAATTTGGCCTAATTTCGTATCTTTGATCAATTCTGCATATACTATTTTACCTTTGTAGTTGCTGAGAATTAATCAAATTTTGAATTGAAACGTACATTTATCATTGACAAAGCTGTTCAGTTATCGGGTAATTGGATTGATTCACAATTGAAGACAAATAGGCAAATTTGTTATCTCGTGAAGCGCGCATTGACTCTCTTATCGTCTGTTCCTTTTTTTTTGCCCCCCATTTATAACATAACTTCCCTGAAATATGAATGAAATACGCAGCGTTGTATATCATAGAAATTTTGCCCCGCGGTCTCCGGGCGATGTTTCTCGGGCAGCCTCATTTTGAGCGCATCTTATCGATGTACGCGAAAGCTGGGTCAGCGAGGCAATTGCATATACAGAGGGGCGCGCTATCACGTGCGTGCACCGCCACATCGCGTTACCCATTCCTTATATCGTAATCTAAGGAGGTGGCTGGCCGCACGATCACGCCGGGCGTAAGCTTGCATGCCTTCGTTTTGCGGGAGTGGGTTCAGACGTGTATGTTGGGTAGCCTCGTGAATTTCTCACGAGGGAAAATGCATCGCGGGTGCCGAGCTTTCCCCGCCGACGATAGGGAAACAACGGTCGCACGGGGACCATTTTCACTTCATACGTCCCTGTCGCCTTAAATTTCCGAACTTCCCCGAATTAAAACTTCCCTTTTCCCTCTCCTCTCTCTTCCCTCTCGTCTCACCTTCCCCACTGTTCTATAAAATTGCCTAGAGGCGCACATATGGCGCGAATAGGACTGAAGATCGATTGATTTCTACGTTATGTTTTATTTAAGACACGGACGTACCGAAAAATCGCTCGAAAACGTGTATCAACGATTTTTTTATTCTCGCTAAAAGATTGTTTTATTAAAACCTGAAACGTAACACGATCGCCTCGATGTGTAGAATGATATAACTCTGGGCTTTTTTGTATTCATGAAAATGCTTTCCAATAGACACGTTTTTCATTAGTTTCTTCAAGGGGGAGAGTTTTTCAATCTGCGGGATATAATATCTGACGTGTACGTATTTTAATATCGGACTGTCTCGTGACTTAAAATATCTGGTCATATCAGTTTTACACGTACAGTTATGCGTGCATTTCTATTTTTCGCTCGAGGATCATGAGTTGCGATCGATAGATTTATCTGGCTCTGCCCCGCGAAACATCGTCCATAAGCGTTTTGAAACCAAAAAAAAAAAATAACCAAAATAATTTTTACGTATCGGAATTAAGCGTTATTATGGCTATGTAGGCAGTTTTATGTTGCATTTTTACATTTAGTCGCGATGTAACCACGCGTTTCTTAAGTGCAGTTTACACGATACTTTTCTGACAACTGACATACTGGCGCAACTTACTAGTATCTAAAAATGCATGGGTGAGTACTTCAGAATGTTGCTAAACTAGTTTACCTTTCTCATCGCCAGCTAAGCACGGTAGTCAAGTTAAAATATTCAAAGTTTATTAGCTGAGTACTGCACCATGCGTCTGTTAAACCTCTCACGAAAAGTGCTGTACAGAGCAGCCAGACATTTTCAACAAACAGCAGACAAAATAAATTTTATAATTTATACCAAAAATTGTATGAATAAACCCGCAGAAAATATTTAGGAGAAAATATTTCTCCAAAAAAAAAAAAATAGACGAGATATATTATAGATGTCAGGAAATGTAAAATATAAAGATTACTTTTTTAATTGTTTAATACTTGCTTTAATAGTTATAACAAGTTTCCTCGATAGCCGAGCTATAATAAAAACTTTATAAACGTGCATACATATTGACGCTAGTATATCTTCCGTTCTAAAATATTTTTATATTAGTAGTGTATATAGATTATAGAGTGTCCCACTTTTCGCGCGTTATTCTTTTAACGACAAATTCTTTAGAGACGATTTTGTTTTGCCAAAATATTAAAGCACTGAAAATGAACGGAAAAGAGATTTCTTTTGCAAAAACTTCAGCAAGTCAAGTGGATTGCAAAATTACATTAGTTATAACTTTACATAAAGTTTATCTCAACAAAATTCTGATGTGAAGTTTAGTCGAAGTAGATATAGAATATTAAAAATTGAAAAGTTACTACAAGTAATGATCTCTCTCGACATTTTCGCTGAAAAAAAGATTGACCTCAATTTGATCAAAAACTGCATCGTTGGAAACTAATACGTGAGAAATGGAACATTCTGTATACAAAATAAATGTTTTTCTAGCTTTTTTCACGCGTCAGAACATTGTATAATAATAAAAAAAAAAAAAAAAAAAAAAAAAAAAGACCGCGTAAACTACGCTTTACGCGTAGACGCGTGCGTGGCGCGTGTTTGCGACGTTCGCGTTCGTGCCGTGTATAGGCAACTGCATCAATTATTACGCCCGCGCGTTTCATGTATATAGTGTTTCAGAAAGCAGCCGCAAGATCCAGGAAGTACTGCACGGGAAATGAGATTCTTGCGTGAACAATACTCGACCCGCGAGCTGCACTCTGTATATGTATGGTATATGTATGAATATCGGTATATTTTGCATCACGAAGGGGGCACGAATTGGCATTCGGCGATTCGTGGAATCTATATGCTTCGGCTATATATCGTAATGCCCGTATCACATTAGCGATTGGAGATTGTGTTTGCGATTATAATGATCTTGCGTCTCTAGACGGTCTTGACCAATCAGAAAGAAATGGCTAACCAGCAGCTTCTTTCTGATTCGTCGCAAACACGATCGCAAACGCAATCTCCAATCGCCAGTGTGATACAGGCATAACGCCGCGCCAATTTTACGATGCTCAACCAATGATTCTCGGGATTTTCATATTTCCGAATAGTCTAGCACACCGTTACGTTCGTTTCTCCTTATGTCGACCTCGAGAATTGTACCAAAGTGAACTGAAAGAAAATAAAATAAAAATATATTGTGTGCTCCTTCTATATTGACTGCTAATTTAAGTTTCGATAAGTAGAATCAATATTTTCTTTACGAGGAAAAGTACATAAACTTGCATAAAACTGCTGCGCAAGCCCTACTTCTCTGATTTCTCTCAAATTTGATGAATTGAGTGAACAAATAAAAATAATTTTCAGACGTTTTTTTCGACATTCACATATTCTCACACCACAAATGTTTCGAGATGAAAAGTATTAAGTAAGATACAATAGCAATCATTGCAATTAAAGTTAGCGTTTCAGTTTGCGTACAGTTGGATCGCTAATAAATTAATTAATCGATACAACGCAGAAATTTCAAGCAACATTTTCAATGATACTGCAATATTGCAGAAAAAAACGATTTTTCTGAGGCATTTAAAAATTTTACTACACATAGATCTAAAAATAATTTTGTTAGTATACAAATAGTTATGGATGTTTAAGGGAAGAGATCTGGTGATGGATCGGAAAATAGAATTTGGTATGCAGTTGTGTTGTTAATAAATTTTATGGAATATTTAATTTAAATTTACATTTGGTATTATATATTAAAAAAATGAATTAAAAATATTCACTTATCGCGAAAATATAAAACATTAAAAAGAAACAATAGCATTGCTATTATGCTTAACTATCCTACATAATAATTTTAATGGTCCAATAAAGTTATTTACAAATCTGCATCTAGTTAAATTTTTAGACATTTCAGTTCCGTATATGAATAAGAATACATCAAATATACCTATATTCTCTGCAAAAAGTGATTGGAATTGAACATTTAGAGTTTTTGTATAAAAGTGAATGTTATTGTATATGTATACGTATGAAACAGTTTAATCAAGTCAATATTTATATTCAACAATACAATTTTATAGTATAAAATAAATGAAAATGTTTGTATTTTAAATGAAAATGTATTTTAAATAAAAATGTTTATATTTTATCTTGATTATTCTTTAAAAACATGTTTTTTTTTATTGAAATAATTTTTAATCCATGTTTTAAACATTTGCCAAACTTTTTGTCTTACTTTCTAATTCAATATAGAAAAATCTACAATCTTTTTATATTTATTAAATTTTATTTTTTTAAATATTTTTTTATTTTGTTCAGTAATACATCTTTAATAATTATTCACCCGATCAAATTGAACGAATTAGAACGATGCATTATGATTAAGAATAACTCAACCGAACAGATAGAGGAGGTTATTTTTTTGTTTTAACAGGCCTCTTCTTTTTTTTCTCTTCAGATCGATACGGCCCCAGCTTTCGGCGCACCATAACACCCCGCCACCAGGATTGCATCTTAATTATGCTGTGCCGTACATGATCCTCGTGCTCTTTTTGTCTTCGGAGTGCTTCCTGCTCCGCGAGGTATGTGTCGATGAATTCCTGATTATTACGATACTGCAACAAATACCGTCCGTTTCAACTCGAGTTTACCGACATATTTTACTCGACCTCAGTATTTCTCAGGAATAACTGTGTTTTATACGAGATTCACGGGGCTTTACGCGATCGTGTATCTTCATAAGTAAGAAAGGAAGGTTCAATCTTGCCTTTTATATATGGACGAAATTAAAAGGTATAAGGCCTCAACTGGACAACTCTGGCATAAAAAATTGTGTATCTTACAATTTGGAATAAATTTTATTACAGAGAATTAAAATATTTAATATCATTTAAATAATCTAATTTTTTATCAACGATTAAAATTCACAAGATTTGTGAAGATTTAAAGAAATAGATCTGTAAAATTACCACGAGAGTCTCTATATTAATTTACTAATAACGTTAATCTATTATAGTATTAATTAATTAATTAGAGATTGATATATAACAGACACATAATTGAGGATACAATTAAAAAAAATTATGATATATAACTACAAAGAATTGAAAAGAATAAAAAACACAATTTCTTGTTGGAAGATGATTTGAGAACACAGGAAATAATTTGCAATTATATATTCAAACGTATGAAATGTATGCTCTTGTTGGCGTTAGGAATTCTACTGCATTCCTATAGTATGTAGATACCTAAGCTAAGGGAAATTAATCTACAGACTTCCGGTCAATGATTTACTTCTCGCTTAAACGTAAACCAGTCTGAAACATGTGGAGGGATCTCAAGAGCCCAGAATTCGAGGAGATTTCAGCTATTAATAACGATCGTTAACATTTCTGAGTCTCAGTAGACACGTTCTTGACACAAATTATCGATTACCCAATGAAACTTCGGCGTGCCCTTTAAATTCACTCAGACCAAGTTAACCGAGCTTGATTGTCAATAGACAAGACGTGGCGTAGTAAACCAAATAGTCACACAGAGAATGCGAAATGAGATAGTGATTACGCTTGTTGCACTGGTTAGGATTCTCTTTAACCGACAATTAAGATTCACAATAGCGGCGGTCAATATAATAAGCGAACAGAATGCAAATTGAATTACCGCGCACTGCCGTTTCTGCCGCACGAATGAAATGAAAATATTTCTCGCACTGTCGCACAGTTTTCGAATCGTTACCTCCGTCGTAAGTTCCTCCAAGTATTTCTGAGCATCTTCGATCTCATTGCGTACTTTACGGATCTCCTTCTCATACATTTTCTTCTCTCGATCGTACTTCTGTTGCCATTGCTCGATCCGACTTTCGATGAGCTGTAAATTCAAAGTAAATATTTTTGTTATCTTCCCAAGGACGTGACTCATCTTAAATTTAACGAAATTTATTTCGTGCTTGACATTTCATAAAAACGCCAAATTTGTGTTAACATATCCGCTGAAAGAAAGATCATAAAAAGCTGCGATCTCAAAGTACATTTTTCATCAACCTTTTAAGCTTTTTCGCTGAAGAATTCACAAGATCGCTTAAGTGTCCGTCTTAATTTTAATGACGGACCCTTTTAAGTCTTGACTGTTTAAGTAAAAGGCGGTAAAAAGATGTCTATAAAACATTTTAAACGATAAAGAAGTTGAGAAAGTATTTACTCTCACCGCTATACGTCGTGTCAGATAACGCGTTAATACATCATTCACGTGATTTTCGTTTCTCTCGCGCACGCAATGATCATTCAAAGTCTTTTTCAATTCGTCCATCTTCACCTCGTAACGCAGTACGTACTGTTCCCTACGTGCCGCTTCCCACATTCGGACATATTTCATCTCCATGTCCTTAATTAGTTTCAGCTTCTCCTTCTCGTCCTAAACATTTTGCCAACACAAGTTTCGTTTTAACATGACTGTACTTATACGCATACAATGGTTAAACGGTAAAATTTCATGATTTATCACTGTTGCGTCGTATATACATATATTTGTAAACGTTTCGACTTGTGAAACATTTACCCGTGTTAAAGTGAGCTTCTTTGTTAAACGCTCTTCCTCCTTTTCATTCGCTGTTTTCTTATCAGTAATTGCTTTTCGTAACTCTGCCACGATTATTTGCATGCTTTCATTCTTTTCTATTAAAAGATGTTCCTGTTCTACTTCTGACGTAATCTTCTCGATTTCTTTGGTTAATACATCGATGGTTCCATGTTCGCTAATTTCCTGCTTCAAGTCTTCTATTATACCGCTCACATATAAACTGTAATGTATAAAAGATGTCTCTGAATCTTTAGACACTCAGTAAAATACAGGTATGCATACATCTTAGCATGTTTAAAAAATGATATCTCTGAAAAAAAAGTAAACAATTAAGGTCAAATATGACTAATAAAAGAGGAATTTTGCTTAAATTTTAACCAAAAGTATATAATTTTTTAAATAAATGCTATATTGAAATATATGAAAAATTATTTGCATAGTAAGGTACGAAATTAATCAAATTACAATAAAAAAGACGACATAGTGTGCAGCATTTATTTTTGTGTTGTAATATAATAATTTCTCAAACATTATTCTGCTAATATGCATGACTTTATGACGTATCTATAAAATGTATATTCTTGATGATGTATTTTTTTTTATATTCTATACAAAACTCGACGAGCCTTCATTTTAATGGTGAAGAAATATAGCAATTAATTAATGCAATGGACATGTACTATACATGTGTGTATAATTGTACTCGTATATAGATATGCTTACACTCGTCAGTGAAAAGGATGCAATACTTTTTTTCAATGGGTTTTGAAATGCAGTCTATTTAACCGAGAGATTGGTTCTTATTAACGGATCTAAGCATTTACGTTTAATCACTGTACAAGCAAGGCTAAGTTTCAAAATCCATCGAAAAAAAAAGTGTTGCAAGTTTCCTTCCCGGTGGTAAGTATACATAAATTATATGCTGAAACTTTTTAAGCTGTACCGCATACATAGTCCTTTAGTAATATACATTTTATTTTTTACGTTAAATCTAATATTACGATCATTAAAACGTCTTAATATAAACTTCTATTAGACTTTGAAGATATTTTATTGTTTACATTCATTATATTAGATTCATCATTTTTTAACATTTTCATATTTTTGAGCTTATTTTCATATTTAGATTTCAAACTTTTAAAAATAATTAAATTATACCTTTCCTAAAAATAATGAAATGTAAAAGAATCAATATATAGAGATGAGTGGAATTATTTATAATTAAACTTACTTATTAGATCTGCATGATTAATTAATATTGATTAACAGTAACGGATCGGAATAGTTTGAAAATTTTCTCGGTCACAACATTGAAACTTTATTGTATTTATATTTCACGATTATTAGGACGACTAGTAAATGGAATTATCAAAATCTTTTATTAATTAAAGCAAATGGATGTTTTACGTATAAAATCTCCATATTTAAATAACGAAAACAAAATTACATTTAATCACAGGACAGTGCAAATAATAATTATTTGAAACAAAGTGCGTAAAGAATAATAAAAAATATAGTAAAATATGTTATTACCATAACATTTTTATACGATTTAAATTCGATACTATACAGCATATAATAAATAAAGAAAGAATTATTTGTATTTCTTCAGAAAGCAGACGTTAATTTATTAATTATGTAATTAATTTCGTTTTGGGATTCTATTGTTATCGTAGTCTATTGGCTGATCCGCTATTGACTACCACATGTCGGTCTTTCAAACAGGCTTATGGACAGATTAAACAAGCCAACCTGTCTCGTAGGAGCTTTTCACGCGCAGCCTCCCTCCGTGAATCCGTCATTTCCGCGGCGTTTCTGGTAAGCGTTTGCAGAATAGACGTTTCCGAAATTCTGTGGATGGATATACAAAGATGTGTCATATCACAGTCGCGTTTATTGCGCTATATCCGCAGGACGTACTTAACATTTGGGAGAATATTAGTGGCGTCATTATCCTGCGATTGTTGTCGTAAGATGTTTTGGTAAACGGCCAATGAGTCCACACATTCCTCCAGGACTTTTAGGACAACCTCACACATTGCAGGCGAAAATCCGGCGGGACTTTTCGATCCAATCGGCGTTTCCATCTGTTTTCTTTTCTACAACAAATTGGATCGATCTTTCGTTCATTGTTTGTTAGCTATTTTTATTAACAAATTTATATACATAATTCATATTATTTCCTTTCTAAATTTTTTAGAATAGAATCTGATTCTAAAAAATGAAAATTGTGTCAATTTTGAAAAAGAATGACTCAATTTTCAATCTTTAAGAGTAAAATATTTCACTCTTTAGAATGACAATATATATACTTTAAAAGTTTTAGAAAGCACAGTTTATAGAACTATGATATATAGAGCGCGGAAAGTATTTCGAAATTTTGATAGGAACTATACGAGAATGACAGAATCACGTACGTTTCACGATGTAAAGAATATTTCACACGACGCGGAGTGAGGTTCATGCACTCTTTTATGCAAGTACTTGTACATACGTTTTATGTTCAACGTCGATAAATTCAATATGTGTTAAATATATTCGCTTGACAAATACGTCGTGTCAGTCTACATCTGTCTGATAAGTCAATTTATCACATGTTCCTGTGAAGAAGCTTGACTTCAAGATCGTTCTCCGTTACTTCCTTAAATTCTGAATAACATCAACATCACAGTCGGAATACTATCTTTTCCAAGGAACAGGTGCAGAATAGATGTGCTCGAAATGATTAAAAAGGGACGATTTTTGTATATTTAATTTTCTAAATTGACTTTTTATGAAAAATATGTTATCGAAAATCAATAATGGAAGAGCAAAAGACAATTAAATAAATTTAACGAATGAATCATTAACTTCAATGAATATCTATTTTAGTGCAATTTATATAACATTTTTTTATTAATATATACAAGGCGCGTCACATAATTTGTTATAAATTAATATTTTAGCATCAATCATGGTATCGGAAAAATTATTGATGGCAAACTAATGAGAAAGAAAAAGTTGCATAATTTTTATAACTTATATGAAAGCGTCATTAATTTTTTAAGATTTACTTTTTAAGAGATTTTTTATTAATAGTGCTATTTTACATAACAGATGTTAAGGTAAATCTACATTTCTCGAGTAATCTTAAAATATTCTTGATTTTAAATATCTATTTAAAAAATTTAAGCGATTTATACAACGCGTCATTATTAAGAATTTTTCCGAATAATGCTTAAGATATTAATTTGTAATTCATTCTATATATCACTATTTATTAATAATAATCTTATATATTTTAATTTAATAAAATAGCAACTAAAACTTGTTAATATTACACTTGCTAGTATTTTCAAACATAATTACATTGCTTCTTATATGTACATATGCTAATGAGGAGAACACATTCAACAATCATTCAGTGGGCACATAATGAATATTGAAAATACGTATAAAATTTACATACATTGCTTTATGCGCAAACAACTAAACTTTACAAATAAGCAGACGTTTTTGCACAAGTTTATTGGCACATCATCGGACGCGCAGGTATCACATCGATCCCGGACACAGCACTCTGTAAAGAAAGAAAAAGAAGAAAAACTGTAGCTCCGCAAACCTTTCGAGCGAGTTAAACAGTTTGATCCATCGCCGTGGGCTGCCGTGGAAACGAACTCGGAGACCATAGACGTTAAAGCGGCAATAGGCGTGAGAATAAGGAAATAAAAAAAAAGAGGAAATGCAAGAGGAGGCTACGCGCAAAAAATCCTTTGAAACGAAAAGGAAGCACTTGCTGGAGGGAACTTTGTTCTCTCTTATAATGTAAAAAAAAAACGCAAACGTACGATCTCCAATTCCATGACATTTCTAAAATTGAATTCATCGAATCGCGCACGATTTCGTTGTAATTTAAAAAAAATGGGAATCGTGAAAAATCCGAAAAGACTTAACGCGGCTCATACGAGCGTCGCGTCCTGTGCCGTTCTGCAAACACGTACTCTGAAACGCGATTTTGCTTCTCGCACATTTCCGGGAAAGTTTCGCGCGGAGAAAGAAACTTTTTGTGGAAAAGTTGCAGTCTTTAAAGGCATGGACACACATTTAACGCGGACGGTGGACGAAGCCAAGTACATCTTAGCTTACATGAGGCCGAGGAAATGCATCGTTGTAGTTTTGCCGCAACGCCATAGAATGCCTGTTCGGAATTATCGATTTTAGGTATCGCGAAATCTCCCGCACGCCTTTTATCTCTCAGCGCAGCAAAAAACTTTTCACATTGCTCTTCTGCTATTAGAGCTTCATATTTTCACCAGTAATATACTATAATTTAGAAATAATAATATAACAAATAATATCTACATATACCTTACAAAATAAAATAGAAAAGCTTATAAATATTGTCGAACACGTTGCAAAATGTTTTTCAAAGAGAAGTTTAATAGATTAATGCTAAGGGTTTAATAGACAAATGCTATTAAAATACAATACGATGAGTTAGAACTTACTTTTGCGACAAAATTCACATTAAGAAAAGGTAACTGCGAAAATTCAATAAACATCGTTCTACTTGATCTGTTCCGAACGAAGAAACCTCGTGCTATTGGTACTTCATCAATTATTCCACGAAGCGAAGCGAACGAAAGTCGAAAACTGTTAAATTGATACCGACATAATTACTATCCGATCGTGTTAGGGTCCTGGCCCCGGGAAAAAAAATCCTGCGGGCAAAAAAGGCCGCGACAGCACGTATCAGTTTGATTGGAAAAGTTTTCACATCGAAAAGAGGGACTTTTAATTGAATCTGCATTGTCTGGCAAGAGAGAGAGAGAGAGAGAGAGATCTTCGCGCGGCCTCTCGAGCTCGCGTCCTCGTTTATCGTGAAGAATATCGGACCGTGAATTCGTGAAAACAAGGTAACGATGTCATCTGTTACTAAGAAATCCGACTAATTCCGGGTCCGCGTATGTGTGGGTGTCTCTCATTGTGCTGCTTTCCGAGACTTACTCGATTAATCGCACGATTTGACAGGTGGCAAGTCATCTCTCGATTAAACTTGAAGTAAGAACTTGGAGACGCAAAAATTAGATGGAGAATATTAAGAATGTCAAGCGTGTGAAATATTATGATCTTATATGCTGAAGTAGATTAACCTATTAAATAATTGTTTTGGATGTGTTTCAAAATTTTTGAAAAGTGTGTGCGCCTATCAATCATATGTACAGATTGCATTTTTTTGTATTGATTTTATTTTACACACAATACTTATACTTTCATCGATGATACAAAAAGTCATGGTAATCGGTTCTAGTAATATAATTGTTCAATTTCAAATAACTGAATTCTGAGAGATATGTATACAAGAAATTCATTTTTTTATTTTGTCTTATAAAAAAAATTATGACGAAAAATGCGAAACATTATTAAATAAAGAAGAGAAAAGACTTTTAAATTAATCTCTAATGTTTCATTACCATATATTCTCATTAAACGTTAGAAAATAAATTTCCTTTTTTCTATAATCCGTCTGTTTTCTACGGGAACGATTTATACTAATATCAGGTAATATTTCTAAAAAAGGTCGATAGTAAAAGACAGAATATTGAAGGCCCTCAATAAATCTTCCAAATGATTCCAAAATTTTTCATAACCAGGAGCGGTCACAAAAAAAAAATGCAAAGTACGGAGTTTAGAAAAATATAGCTTCAACGGCCGAAATGGGGTAGCTATCCCTTATCTAATGCAAGAGTAAACCGTCGCACCCTGTCGGCTGTTATCGTAGTCCGAAGTGGACTTAACCCTCGTGCAGGAAAACGTATGTGTACACATGCGGCTACCAGGAGGCCACCTCCGGCGTCGTGGCGCGTGCGTATTCGCGAGGCGGCGTCGCGACGGCGCGTTTCCGCCGCGCCCGATGCCGTGGCGAGGAGACGCGAGGGCGGTGTCGGTGGTGATAGCAGCGAGAGAGGGTTGTTCTGGTTTACTCGCCGTGCGCTCCTCGCTGTCGTCGTCGCCGTCGCCGTCGCCGTCGTCGACGAGCGCGTCGCGGTGCTGGAGAGCGCTTTTTTCTCTCTCTCTCTCTCTCTCTCTCTCTCTCTCTCGGGACATTTCAACCGCGAGCCGTGACACCGCGGTGATTTCTCGGCGCTCCGTTCTGGCACGCGCTTCTTCCTGGTTACGGATCTCGAATTGCCGTCGAGACCGAAAGAAAGAGGAACTGCATGCGAGCGCTTTTCATCCGTATAAGTACGTGGTTGTCGTCGCTGCTTCCTTCAGTCACGGCAACAATTTTCCGGTCTCGCTCACACAGTGGACCGCATAAGGTTATATCCCACCCCGGTTGTTACCGCATCGTCACCGTCGGCGCCGTCGGCGTGGATGGTGCTGGTGGTGGTGCTAGTGCCGGTACTGGATCATCCGCTCTCATCCGCTGTTGTTCAGCTGTTGTTATTGCCCGTCGCATTAAGGGGGTGAGTACATATTAGACTTAACCCTTTTGTCGTGTTTGATATTTCGATCATCTTGCCTCGTTCTTCATACGAAGATGCAAGGCGACGCGAGAAAAGTGCGCGCGTCTCGGTACAAGCTTTGACGACTGAACTTGTGTAATGTCGATTTTGTGTCCTATCGAGGGTTGTTACGAGTAACCTAGTTGGCACTTTTCACAACCCCTCGTGTTTATGTCGACCTCTCTCTTCTTTCCCTCTTTCAGTCTCGTCCTCGCTTTCAATTCTGTCTCTTTCTCTCTCTCTCTCTCTCTCTCTCTCTCTCTCTCTCTCTCTCTCTCTGTCTCTCTCTCTATTCCTCTACGACCATCTTGCTCTTTCTTTTTCTCGGGCGGGGGTGGTAAACATGCGTTCTGCAAAGACGTCGATGGAGTGACGCCGAGAATCCCGCCTGCAGAAAATAATCTCGATAAATCGTATTGTATTCGTATTGAGCTCTACTTCATTATCATAACGAAAATTGTTAGCTGATGCTGATATCGCTCCTTTATTTTAAAAGCGACACAACTCACAGAATTATGTTTTCGAGGAAAAATTATTTTTCAACTTCACAGAAAATTATTGATCAATCAAATAATACCAGCAAAACAAATATATTCAAT